ACACAAAGCGAGTACTATACAAGGTCAAAAGCTGTTTAACCATACTTTCAAAGTAACTATTTGTGGAAAACCTGACTTGAGGTGGTAAGCTACTTACCCAAGTCGCTGTGTGTTATGTTTTTCTTGTCTAAATCGTGAGGACAAATAATATCTCCTTTAAGGTCATCAAACTTCTCATCAACGAGTCTGACGGTTTTCTTTTGTTTTGACTTATTTGAAAAATTTGCATTCAGGTGGTGTGCACACGTATAAATCTAAATATAGAGCTACTTAAAGAAAAGGTGGAATTCAGATCACAAATAAGAAATACATAATTTGAGCTCAAGGAAAAATGGTCAACAGACCTCTAAAATTTTTCGTTTGTTCATGTACCACTATACTAAATAGTCATAATTCCCACAATTATGACCATTTTCGAGGAAATGATAAACTTTACTTTGCATTAGCGCCTGATTACACCCAGATAAACACACATAATAATTGGCATTTCCCCTGGGAGATCGAGTCACAGAAAGGGTGATAGACATTTTTATTTCCCAACCTGCTTGTGCTGGTTAACCAAAGAAATTTGAGCAAAAATGTTTTGTTCGTATTTATTGCAACTGTCTTCCTTTTGCAAGCCCATCACTATGGCTTTTCGAATCGAGTGCTTTATTCACTTATTATAAGCATTAACGAGGCTACATTAAAATTTTCCAAACAAAGTAAAGTTATTTAATCTCCCCTCTATCAAGCACCAAGAGAATAAACAAAGCTGAAAAATATTTTTCATTGGAGGTGAACAACTGCCTTTATTCGTGCAAACATATAAACTTTCAATTCAAAGTGACTTTTCGAGCAAAGAAGAACTATCAAAAACTTTTGCAAACTTCTTACTTCTACACAAACGTCAACAGTTACGCAAAAAATCTTCAGCCTGCCACAGCTAACCTCTTACATCAATACAATTCACTAGTTACTGTAAGATTTTATAGAGAAGAGCTCAGGCCTCATCACTCGATTTGCTTTAAAACCAAAAGTGAATTTGTGGAATTTATAATCAGTCAAATTTTTGTGTTTGCCTAGTTGAAGAAGCCTTGGAAACATTTTATTTTCTGTAGACGACCTTGGGTTTGGCGGTAGTTTAATGTGGTATTTGAGGGTTAAAACTAAACTATTTTGTCCGCAACGTAAAATGATATTTATATCAAAAGAGAATTATTGGATATATCTCTGTGCGCGAGTACGTTTGTTAAGCTAAATAATATGTATTAAATAAGTTTTAAAGTCCTTCTGTATGATAAATAAAGATTAAGCATTGCAAGAGTCAAATAAAACATCAATATTCCACTATTCTAGAGCCTGTTTTGGAAGCAGTTACTCAAAAATGACTTTAATATATAATCCCGATCAGAATCTACTAAGAGTTTTTACAGATATGGATTTTGTAAAGCAAATATTAAGAAAAGTAAATATGATGCGATTGCTACCATCTAAAGCAATCGACTGTCCTTATCATCGCATTAAACCGACCTAACGATTGTATTATATGATTAAGGCCTTCTCAGTCACGTGCATAAAGCTGTTTCATATTCGGATTTCGAAAAAAAAAACAAAAAAAACACAGTGATTGTGCCCATCTGCGATAGCACAAAGAAAATACTATGCTACGTCAAAAGCTGTTTCACCGTACTTTCAAGGTGACTTGACTTGATAAGTTAGTTTTTAAATCCGCTTTCTCTTCAGTTTCTCTCCTTTTAATAAAGAGGACAAATGATATCTCCTTTAAGGTCATCAAAGTTGATGTGACCCCAAACACCAGAACTCTCATCTACAAGTCTGACTTGGGCGTATTGACCAATAAACTCCTCTACGTCCCAGCTCTTACGGTACATTGTCTCCCTACAGTTTCCTGTCTCCTTTCTGACGACCTGAACGTAACCAAAAACAAACAGTTTTGAATCCTTTGTTACGATGTTTGCTGACATAGCTAACAATAATAATAAGAATAATGATTTACTGACGTCATGATTGCAGTTATCAATATAAGAATTTTCAATTGCGCATTACAATTACGTGTTAAAAAATCAACTCTACATAGATAGTAAAAACTAAAAAATCAAAATGTTCACTAAGAAGATGTAGACATATAAAAAAATTACATACAAAGAATTAAAAAGCTTTTGCAGATAAAAAAGTCTTAATGGCTTTCTTAAACTTGCTTAAAGATTGGGTATTTCTGATTGAGCCTGGAATATCCTTCCAAAATTTAGGGATGGCCCTAACATGACTGTATCATGTATCAACTTACTTGCAACGCTTTAAACTTAGAGGTAAAAAACCTGTCCTTTCCAAGAAAAGTAAGCCAAAGACTAAAACAGTGAAGTAGAGTGTGGCAGAAGCCAAGTTGGTTATCTCACAGACTCTACCATAAGTAAGCTAAAAATAAGCCATTTCTAAGTCAAAAATATTTCAAAAGTAAAACCAAATGTTCTCGACACTTGGTTGTTATCAGGATCATCATCAGTTACCCAGATGATAACAAAGGGTCGAAAATGTTTAGATTTTACTTTTTAAATATATTTTTCCCTGTGAGTATCTCATTTTAAACCGAAGCGAACCTTATCGATATCACGAAGCTCAGCATGGTTTCGCAAAATTAAATTCCTGATACCTTGATGAAACTGCCTAAGATGTTTTAAAAGAATTAAAGGACAAATAATAGTCAAAGTGAATAACCTCACCTTGTTGTTGACAATAAGCTCCGCGCGAACCTCAGCCATGGTACATCCCCCACCGATAAGAAACGAGATACTCTTGCCGACGATACGAAAACAAGGTGAAGTGAGAGTTCCATTGGGTTTGTCGGCTCCATCTGGATTCAGATTTCCTGCGGGATCGCTCTTTGTGGGTCGTCTCTCAGACCCCCCTATCCACCAGTCCCCTTGCTGCTTGGCGGTTTCTCTTTTGCGAGCTTTTGGATTATCACCAAATGTTGGCTGGTAAATGAAGGCTCTGCCTGTCATCTCCCACGCGCCGATTCCATCTTCAAAGTCAAAGCTGCAGGCTGCATTAAAAAGCAACCGTAAATTTTTTATCCACCTGAATACTTCATGATTATTATTCAGTATTGATTTTACTTTACAGTTTTGTTTATAATTACTCATTACCTTTCTTGCAGTTTACACCAGTGAATCCTAAAGGACATTTACAGCGAAATCCTTTTTCAGTGTATCCAGCTTGACATGTGCCATTGTTGAAACAGGGACTGCTGCTGCAGGGATTCTGTTGAAGATAAAATAACTGAGTATCTTAGATAGCCATGGTTAGTTTACCTGCTCGGGTTATCATGTAAACTAAAAGAAACTCATTTTTCTGGAACGATGACTTCTTCTGGCTTTTTAATAAAGTAAGTGCAGACAAGAATTAAATACCTTTATGAGTCTTCCGACCAGGAAATCGCAGTATCAAATATTTGGTAGGTTGAGTAGTGTTTGATTAATTTACAATGGGTCCCTTCATTTTAGCCACGGCTATCTTGTTGTTGTCTTTTTTTTAAAGTTGTTCACCATCACTTCAATTCAATACATACATACGAATTGCAAGGCGAGTTCAAGAAGAAATCTGACAATCTAATCGTCCAGAAAAATTGTTCTTCGTCTAAAAATAAGTCACTTTACCTCGATACTGAGATGGGTATAATCTTGTTTACTCTGAAAGTCTGACGAGCCTTGACTTTCGTCCGAAGCATTGTTCAACTCACAAATGTAGTTTCCTCCTTGTGAAGGCCCAAAATTTATGGACACACAATTGGGCTCCAAATAACACAGCACTTTACAGCTGCCTTGATGGGGCACATCTACAAGCCTGATCAGGTGGCCTTTCATGACCTTGTCCCGTATGGGTTCTTTGAAAAGAATGGATCGGCATTCTTTACCTATTTGGTTTGCAAATAACAAAACAAGTTCATCAGACATCTCTGTGATTTCACCGTAAGATTTTGAAAGTGCACCTAATCAAGTTGTGAGAGCTGTCATGTATTACATGACTTAGTGAGCGTAGATAAGTTTCGTGTAGGTTTACATCAAGTATGGGAATAAAGGAGCACATGGTCGACTAGTGTGTTAACTTGGTTCATGCCGACTTCAAGACGAGTAACCCTCCAATTTATACATTAGGAGGACACAACAAGAACCAGCGACGAGTTACCCGTTAAAGAGGAAAGCAAACAATTTACATCCCTATTTAGGTCCATTTCAATGGAAAGAGTTATTGAAAGCGACAAAGAACTCCACTTTGCTTTGTATGCCCGTTGCACAGGTCTATTGGAAATTTAATCACTGCGTCAGGTTACGCCAACAACGGCATTAATATATATATTTTTTCTCAATGAGAAGATTTGAAGAAAGGGTCGATATCATGGTTCAATCATCGGTTTTGGACCATACCCACAGTAAAAAGGAGCACAGGGACTTGAGGCAAACAATTCCTGGTAATAACTCTTGCATTTGCAAATTATTCAATCGTCTTCATTGGAAAATTTTCCTAACTAAGCTTTCTCTCGTCAGTTTTTACCAAGTCATATGAAGCAATCTATCGCTGTTCAGAACCTTAGTTTTCTCTCTTTGTTTCTAATCAATACAATTACTGGTTACGACAGCTTTGATACCTTCGCCCAAGGGACTGACAACTTTTCATTGATATGTTACTCCATCTGGCACTTCATCGTCACCTAAACTGCGCACGATATTTAGTGACAATAGCTTACCAGTGGGTCCAATTCCAGACGTCACTGACGAGAAGAACAACCTACCTGTTTTTGGACAGTAGAGCTTATGGTATCATATCAATTGCAAAACTCCGAGGGTTCAAATTACTTCCTTAACGAATTTGGCTACAAAGAGGAAAGATTTTAAACAGAGACTAGAAGTCTCTGACATCCAGATTCGCTTTAAACCGTGACCTCCGCTATAGTCTCCGCTACCTTCATCGAACGTAAACTTACTATTAACATTGCAACGGAAAATACTTCAGATTATTACCCACAATTTTAGCACTTTGATAAAATAAACATCGTTTCTACCAACTTTGACATATGATTGATCTTTCTCTGATATTTGTTGACAAAAATTTCTTTATTCAACACAGTTTTTCCATAGATTTTTGCATTACAACATGAACGTAAGCGGAATATTCGAAGCTCAGTAACCAGGTATTAGATCAGGCGCGAAAATGAAAAACTCGACACCTTTTTCAAATGTTTCCGCAAATAAGCCGCACCCCCAATTTCTAGCGACTATTTAAAATACAAACAACGAGAAGCGGTAGCTCGACCTCGTCCTCATGGAATGGAAACACAACGTGCGCTTGGGATCACGTGAAAGACTACCCTGGACGTCTTTAGAAAATACTTCAGTTTTTATTACGGGTTACGTTGTGATTATATTGATCACAACAAATGATGTTAAATCACACATACAACGTCACGTTTTGAGTAGTAATCTGGAACAGAATAACACTCAAAAGCAACTTTTTCAAATTTGGGTGGCAGCTTTTAAATTTTTGAGCAACTTTAGAGCAACTTTTGGTTGTATTGTCAAGCAAGTTTTGCTGGATTTACTAGTACAATCTATTCCTGCCTAACAGCAATTAACCGAACGGCGGTAAACGCGGGAAAATGCATCCCTTTCAGGAATTGACCGTTGCAGAAAAGTACCGGAAAATACATGCTTTCGACTGGTTAATTTTAGTAAGCATAACTTTGGAATGCGCAAAACGGCTGTAATTAGCAAAATGCATGTTGTTTCCATAGATTAACCGAACAACAATAAAAGGTAAAACGCCGGGAAATGCGTTTTAACGAATTTTATTGAATTCACCATCACGGAAAACGTTGGAAAATGCATGCTTTCGACTAGATAATTTTTGTGAACATCTCGTTCACCGGGTGAAAAATGGTTGGGACCAGAAGAGAACACGGCATTTTCTATGCGTTATACGAACTGCAAACTCTGAAGAACATCATGTTTTCCCGTATATACACACATTAACCTTCCCGGAAAATGCGTGTTTTCAGCTGTTAACTCTGGTGAATGCGTTGTTTTTCTCTCGAAAAATGCCAATGAACAAACGGAAAACACGCTGTTTGTAGTGCGTTAACCGAGCGGGTAATGCCGGAAAATTAATTGTTTACCTGCATGTACCACGATGGGAACAATACCGAACAATGGAGCGAAACTGGAATTCACCGATGCGAAAACGCACAGAGAACGTCGCATTTTCCGTAGGCAAAATACATGTAAACATAAATTGCCACTTCGTGAATTCAACCTGCGTTTTCCGTACGGTGAACGCTAGTTTTTTTTTCTGTGTTCGCTATAGTCTCCGCTATAGTAGAGAAGGAAGGGAGTAAGAGGGCAGGCATCTTGCTAAAAACAATTTTCACCACGTTGTGAGAAATATCAGAGTATTTCATGGGACAGATACCAATGGCAGGCTTCCGTTCCGGTTGGACATCAACACAGTATTATTGTTGCCCTGAAGGCTGATAGGAATCACCTGGTCGCTAGGAAAGCTCTTCTTTATAAAGAATGTTCTTCTTTCACTTCGAATATAATATTTGGACAGTAACCAAATGTAATATCTTTTACTGAGCATGCTTAACGCACCTGAACAAACACCTCCATCTCCAACTGATCCTTCCTCCATGCAGGTACAACCATAAGAGCCATTGGTGTTTACACAGGTCGCATTCACACCACAAATGAAGCTGTCACTTACACATTCGTCAATATCTAGAGGACAAATGCAAATAAGTCAGCCGTGCCGTGGAAAGATTATTTCTAGCCACCTTTGCTTTGTTTTGTTTTTTTTTTGTTTCTCTTTTTTCTCAGAAGAAACATACCTACACATATCTGACCGTCTCCAAAAAAACCTTTCTTACATGTACAGTTATAGGAGCCATTGATGTTGATGAAATTGGCATTTGCGTCACAAAGGTGGCTGCCATTTCTGCATTCATCGATATATGGGTGAGTATGTGAAAATATAAAAACGCCTAAGCATCTGACCTTGTCCATTACCAATGACCTCCCTTGCATGATAATATTTGACGAAAATAGGCTGAGATCAAACGAAATAGGCTTACCTCCAGTTCCTAAGTTCATATCACAATACATCAGTCGTGTCTTTCCATTACCAGTTGGATTCAGCCAGTACTTATTGCTAATAGCATCTTTTCCCTCACTTGCTTTTATTTCTTGGCAAGATAGTGCTGGTAATTCGACAATGGAACCCAACGGTACTGCAATAGATAAAAGATTGAAGAATAAATTCCGTCGGTAACTACCTGGTTAATTTCTTAAAGATTTTTTTTCTAGGAAAAGGTGAGAAACTTAAGAAGATGACCATAGATGTGATGGACTAAACACTTTAAAATATCATTTTACCTTCCTCGAATAACTAAAGGTGAATTAGTAACTATAACATTTTCAAGAAAAATAGAAAAAACTCTAGAATATGCAAATATTACGGGGAAATAATATTTATGAATAACTTTTAGTTTTCTCGTATTCAAGTAGTTTCTCACACTCTCATTTTTATCAAACAACGCAGAAGCGGTTAGATTACTTTGCTGGAAAAATCTAACTCAACAGTTGACTGAAATATGGGAGTTGTTAAAAACTGTGGATTTCAGAAAGAAGCAGCTGTCAAAGTTGCCCACCACGACAATACATAGCCGTTCGCGTATAACCAAGATAATATAAATAGTTCAACTTATATTCTCTCAGTAAAACGCGAAAAAAAGGGTTTTGAGGATAGAAATTAGTCCCGCTTGCTATTTTCTTCAAAAAAATTCCCTCTTGAGGGCTGTTATTGGTAAAATTGCTTGCTGACTGAGACGAGAAACTATTTAACATGCAAATAAGTAAGGCCATCTCACTAAATCAGATTAATACTTACCTCTTCCATTCAAACGCCTGATATAAAACCAATCAGGGACCGAGCGAAAGTTTTCAGGCCTCGCCTCTTTACTGCGGTTGTTTAGTTCGCAGATCTCCTTCTTTCTATTGTAGTTGTAGCTTTGGCAGATGATTTCTTCTCCACATCGGATATCACAGATATAGGGAGCTGATGCTGACATCCTTTTGAAGACGAACTTTTCAAGTCTCATGCCTTGGATGTTGATCTCCACCTTGCACTGTTCATTAGCAGATACGCATTCCACGAAAAGAACCGGGATAAAGAGATAAAAATTTGGCCACAGCATCTTTCTTGTGAGAACAATAATTGGTTCTTGCGTCAGTATACTTTTATAAGGACATCAAGTATACAGAGGGTTTAGAGAAAATGCAAGATGGATCAGAGCGCCCTTTGGCACAGACTTCTTGTATCCCTGTTATATTGTATGAAAAATTGGTAACATTGTATGCAAGTGACTCTAAACCAACAAACAATTTCCGATAACGAAATAAGTGTGTCATAGGTTAAGAGAATCTACTTTTATGTGGTTTTTCTCTTCATTTCTCTCTTGTTCGAGCGATTGTTGTGCAGAGATCGTAATAAGATTTAAGTATTATTATGGCTCATAATGAAAACGGGTTTCTACCCTTTACCCTCACTTTGCAACAAGTAAAGTCCCTTACCTTTAAAGGCTTATAACCACTCAGCCTTTTGCAGTGTGTTTTTATGCTAGCCACCACCTGCAGGAAAGTTTCTTTCTCGAGGTCGTTGGTCGATGTTTTGAAGCTATAGTTTAAATCTAAAAAACTCCGAACCTCTGAACCTACACCTGAATTCTCTCCCTAACCTTAATGAAATGTTAGCCTGACGGCTTGAGCCACTGCTTTTTGGCAAAATGTAATGAATACAAGATAGCCTCAATTAATAGTTTTGGGATTCTGAATTATAAAAGATAACGCCAGGTGAATGACAATTTGACAGAAGCCCAAAACGCCGCGAACGCGTTCGAATTCTCGGCCTGATTATTATTGACAAAAAAAAAAATTTGTTCATTAGCCTTTATTTTTTTCTACTCTTGGGACGCACTCGTAAAAATGTTTTCTTAGTGCATTCCTCTCACACTACTTCATTTATCGTTTTAAAACAAAGAGAAATTGAGTTTAAAAACATAGAAAAAGGAAAACAGTTAATAACCGATGCCAGGCTGTAGCTTGGTGAACTCCAACTTTTTTTTCAGTGATCATATTTTTAGCACGACAATTTGAACAACTGCTTTTCGGTGAACTGTAATGAAAAGAACGCCCCTTTCTATTTCTATTTTATTTGAAGAAATGGATCGAAAAGGATAAACACCTGGTTAAGGCCTCCATAAATATTTGTAAATATCTGTTTCATGCGTAAACTTGTTTACTTCGTTTTCTATTCTTCTTAAAGTTGTTTATTACCTGCAAGGCCTGTCCCCATTGTGCTCGGAAACGTTTAAGCAACTTTTGGCGTTTGGAGGAACTTTTGGCGATTCTAGTAACAGTGAAATTTTTTTTCATTCGTATATCTGGGAAATGTTTTCTCAACATAAAGCTCATATCAATTAAGCACGAAACAGTCAACGATTTCATCGGAAACTTCAACTTATGTAAATTTCTTGTATGTCTATCAACCTTTAGAACAAATAACCTGTTATTTGACATCGTTTCGTTCGACAAGAAGCGAAATGAAGAATGTTTTTTGTTCCATTCAACTTTAGTAAAGAATATCCTTCAATTTCGCCTCTATTTACGTGCAACTCTTTAAAGCTAAGTTTCAAACCATTTTTCTCGAGTGATTTTAGTGACTATTGCGAAGATCGAAACATTAAAGTTTTATGTGAGGGTGTTATCTGATCGTCCGGGTGAGTGTAGTCCTGAGGAGGACTGTTGCCGGTGGTAGTGACTGACGTTTCGACAACCTGTGCGGAAGTCATCATCAGAGTCAAGTGAATGATTGTTGTCCGTAGAATGTTCTTATTCCAGTTCGTGTGAAATGATCGGT